ATCTCTCTCTCTCTCTCTCTCTCTCTCTCTCTCTCTCTCTCTCTCTCTCTCGCTAAATTCTAAAGGTATTGGGTGGCAGTTACACTATCAAATGAGTCCTAGAAATATTTAATACCATTAATTCTGCATTTCTTAGTCAACTTCATTCTTCTTTTTGTACAGTACTCTGATAGCTAGCTCCTTAACTGCCTTATAAAGCAAAACAAAATAGTTTCTTTAGTTAGTCTAATCTGGGAACAGTCAAGAGTAAGGCATAAAATAAAAGTGGCCAGATGTTTCTTTCAGCACGATATTTGTTTTCATTTTTGGTTATTGTGATTAACTTTTCAGAGTGCTTGGAAGAAGAAAATAAAATTATACTAGTAATCATTTGTGTTTTCAAGAACATGTAGGAGGCTGCAATGTTAATGGATAATTTCGAAAACAATTTTGGTACAGAGATGAATTTATTACTTATTTTTTAGCACCTTTTCTTTTCAATTTCTTTTCGCTGCATGAAATTAGTGATAAATGTTCTTTGTTCTTTCTTCTGGGTTCCAATTGACTGGTAATGCCTTTTCTATGCACAGGGCTTCTGCCTTATTTGTTGGTGTCTATGAACCCACAAAACAGAAACTATTGAAGCTCTTCCCTGAGAACCTTAGTGCTTTTGCTCACTTGGTGAGAGAGTCTTCTATTTATTCTTTATTGGCAGATGTATATTTCATGATCAAGCCCATTACATACTAGTTCATTCCTGTAACAATTTACATCTACTATTGAATAAACCTTCCTCCATTACTTGAAACATCCAGTCAACCTAATGATTTGGTTTAATAACTTCCTTTATTTCTCACCCCAAGTCCAATTAGATTTTGACTGATGGTTTGGCTGCACAATGCTGTTTGTGACTTTAAAAGGTTTTTGAATCTCATGCAGACTGCTGGGGCTGTAGGAGGAATTGCTGCTTCACTTATTCGTGTTCCAACTGAGGTAGTTATATTTGTTCATGCATTTTCATGTTCAAACCTGACTTATTAGTCCTATCCTATTGCATTTTGTTGTTCTTAACAACTCAGGTTGTAAAGCAAAGGATGCAGACTGGGCAGTTTGCTTCTGCTTCTGATGCTGTTCATCTTATTGCATCAAAGGAGGGATTTAAGGGTCTTTATGCGGTATGAGATGCCCTCACTTTTCCCTCTCTCCTACCATCATGAATGTGCAAACCCACCCTGCATCTTTTTTAATGTTACTCTGGATTGTCAAATTTATGCATGTAATCTGTGTTTCTGTCCTGGATAGAGGTTAAGAAGGTTCTTTTTATGAGGATCAGCCTGTTTGTATTTTACCACTGAGAATTCTTAAGCTATTGCAAGCTGTGAATTATTTTGGACATTACCTGACCTGTATTTTTGAAGTGTAGGGTTATGGATCTTTTTTATTACGAGATTTTCCATTTGATGCCATTCAATTCTGCATCTACGAGCAACTAAGGATTGGTTATAAGGCAACGGTAAGCTGTCCTCCATGTGATCTTTTCTATTGCTGGTAGTATGGCACACTAATTAATAGATTTGCCTGTTATTTTTGTTATTTGATTATTTTTGCCCCCTCTTCTCCACATGTTGCATTCTATGGTACTAAAAAGTTACTTGATATGATATGTTTTAATGCCCTTTGTGTCTATGGTACATGAGTTCCTTTTCTGCATGAAAGAATATAGTGTCAGCAAAGAAAACTCCTAAGACACGTTGTGAGAGTCATCTTGAACCTGCAATTTGTTGAAACCCTTAGGAATGAACGTTGAACTGTGTGTATGGTTTTGTGTAACCAGCAATTTGTTGAAACCCTGACGAATGAACTCCGAAGTGTGTGTGTATGGTTTTGTGTTTAAGTTGGCCCACATCTACAATAAATTATAGTTAAAATTAGACCAAGCTACGGGCATTGATCCCATAATCTATAACTGCAAGTTCTTAATAAATGGAGGTTGGGTGCTTAGGCAAAAACAATTTCATAAAAATTCTAAGCCAAAGGGAAACGCTAGGAGGAATACGGTATTAGAGGTACCAATAATACTACAAGTGAAGCTCAGGGGAGGTTTTTAAGGTTGTTTGCCAATGGAAATACTGGCCTATGTATTCACGAGTAAAGAATAGTATTTTTATTTGAGTTGAAGAAAAAAAATGACAGAAGGCAGACCAATTACATGGCTAAAACTTATTAAATTATTTTTCCTTTGAAACACTAGACGGGAAAGAAATAGAAATAATTTTGGCAGCTGACTACTTTGCTATCTATAGATTTGACAGAATGACAAGAAGACCTGTTCTTGACACGCATGCAGTATTGTTCTCTATATACACATGGGATAAGCATACTTGTAATTGCATTATTATAACTTTACCAGTATTTTTCCCTTTTTTTGCAGGCTCGGCGAGATTTATATGATCCTGAGAATGCCATTATTGGTGCTTTTGCTGGTATTATGACATCCTTGTAAAATACAAGTTTACTACCCATTGCCCTGATATTTGAATGAAATGTCCTGAAAAGTATCACCTTTTTCGTAGGTGCATTAACAGGAGCAATAACAACTCCTCTTGATGTTATCAAGACAAGGTTAATGGTTCAGGTATAGTGCTTTTCTTCAAGATCATTATCTACCCTTCTGTTTTGTAATTATCAGGGCATTATAAGATTCAATTTTTCATGTTTGGTTTTCATAGGGATCGGGAAACCAGTATAAGGGGATCTTTGATTGTGTTCAAACAATTGTTAGGGAGGAAGGGCCTCCTGCTCTTCTTAAGGTAGTCTCTTGAAGAATTTACATCAGACCTAAAGCAAATATTGACACTGCAGGGAGAACTTTATACATCTACTTTTCTACTGTAGGGCATTGGACCAAGAGTCCTGTGGATTGGTATCGGCGGTTCAATCTTTTTCGGCGTCCTTGAAAGCACGAAACGGTTCCTTGCACAGACGCGTCCACCGCCCAGTCAACACTCAAAACATGATTAAAATTTATGGACTCGGCGAAATAACTGCTTAGAGACCATATCTAAGGTTTTCTTTTTTAAGTTCGTATTTCTCTGTTTTAACATTTTTTACAGTTTAATAGCAACATTAAAAGGGGAAAATTTTTGAGAGAAGAACAAGCTTAGATGGAGCTATCTATTTATGCTTTCTGCTGCAAGTAGCAGGATATCAACAACAAAGAAGGAAGTTGCTTTTATTTTACCAGGGGGGCTTGAATTAGACCCATCCATGTGGCTCGAAACAAAAGAAGTAATGCTCTTGATTTAATAGAAATTAGCTCCACTATTTTGGGGACAAAAGTGGAATTGATAGAAATAAAAGACAAGGTAACAATTTGTATTAAGAAACCGTAAGCAACAATGATAAGTGAAAATGAAAAGGAGAGGAAGGAGTTGGCAAATGAACTATATATTGGAAAAAGAATGGACAAACTGTACATTTCTTACAAAAATGATATGGACCCTTGCCCCCTAATATTCATCCAATGGCATCTACAGCCTGCCTACCCTAATTTGTTAACTGGAACAAGATATTTCCCAAAAAAATAAAATGGAACAAATGAACCAAACCATCATACAACATTTTAATTGCAATGGAAACCCCTAATCTAAATCTAAAATACACTCTTCAATCACTTTTTTTTCCGCATCCTAGTTCTGAGTTTTGTCCAATCAATGTTTATATAACAAAAAGATCATCCCAAGCTCCGCAGCTTACCAACAACTTCCATATCTTGCCATGGCACACGTTCTTCAGTGATGATTGTAAAGTGGCAATACTAGGAAACTATCCTTGGATTCATGAGCATCATCATCATCCTATCAATCAAGTCTTAACCATCGGAATAATCATCAGCCAGCCTCTGCCAAAATCATACTCTCACTAACAACCATGTTTTTTACATTAATGGGAGGTAAGCCCCACCATGCCCTTTCCTCAAAACAAGTGGCGCTGCAGTGTCAGGGACCCTATCCAAGGCCTTCATGCAGGCATCCACCACATCAGCGAACCCAGTAGCAGCAGTAGCCAGCTGCAACTGTAACCTCAAATCCCTAGTCCTCTTCAACAAGCATCTAAATGATCTCCCAAGGTATTTGGCCCATTCTGCGGGCAACCCTCCACCAGTGAGCCAAACTGAGAATTGGGACTGATCACCTCTGGCTGCTACCTCAGCCCTATAGAATCTTGCCAGTTCAATAAGCATAGATGCCTGAAGAGGAAGCACAGCCACAAATTCAGCCACAAACTCTTCTGTCAGCTCTGGATTGAGCATCTGATTCCAAAGTACTAGGGCCCATTCTGTCGGCTGATTAAGACCATAGGCTTCTGCAACTATTAGAGCCTCTTGGAAACGTGATTGCTCAACTAGTGCTCGCCTAGCATTTGTTTCAGACAGGTTGAGCCACTTGGAATCTGGCATTCGTATTTGAAGAGAGACAAGGGAAGCCTGGGCGCAAGCCCTGCGTGTTTTATTGCCAGCATCAATTGAAGAGTGCACTTCAGCAGCTTCAATGAAGTAGCGCATTGATTCCAGGAGATCTTCATTCTGGTCTCTGTCATAACGTTGAAACCACTGCAAGGAAGCTTGCTCCGCTCGTGACTCCAGCAGAGCAGCTGTTTCATGCTTCATGTCAAAGTGGTTATAAACCTGCAAAGAAGAAAAGCACAACAGCAAGGAAACTGATGATTGGCCCAAAACAGTTTTAAGTATATGAACATGGCAACATGAGATAAATATATTTCACAAAAGCCTAGATGAGGTTTGCAAAATATCTTTAACTAAAAGAACTGCATATTTTCCTATTGCCAAACAGCATGGAACTCCTTGAATCCTCTATTACATGTATAATTTACTAGACTAGCTTCCAAGAGGAATCAAATGACAACATATAAAATGACAATCGACCTAATTCGAAGCCAGTAAATTGCCCAATTAATAAATATAACAAATATGATGGCCTAAATAGACCAGTCCAAGGGCTAGGCTACCTGCACAGGCCTGCAAGCCTGGCCAGCTTCAGGCTGGGCTTGGGCTAAGATTTTCCATTTTATTATTTTGTAAAATGAATAATATATTCTTATTTAAATTCAATTAACATAATATAATTAAAAATGTTAAAATACCAATCTAAAACATTTTTTTATCATTTTATTTAATATATAATAAAAGTTTAAGTCCATAAGCAGGCCTGGGATTAGCTCTTAAGGAGGGGCCTGCCCGGTCCTGCCCATGGACACCTCCGGGCCTAAATACTATGCTATAGTTAGTAATACAGCCTTAGTCTTGTAAAGAAACCTTAATTAGTTGGTCTTATATGATGTATATTTATAAACTCAAAACAGCTTTTTCAAACAGATGATATTGACGGGCTAAAAAAACAGATGAGATTGAAGCCAAACATGCATATACTAACCATAGCAAATGCATCAAGGTCGTAAGGGTTAAAATGCTTCAATGATGTCAGAACAGCCATTCGAAATCCTCTGACAGCCTCAGCAGTGCCTGCATTTGTGTCTGCAGCAGTGGAATACTTCTGAAGAAGTAGATCCAATTGACCATTTTCTATGAGAATGCCAAGAATGAAATTAAGAGCATGGAAATTTCCAACTCCAGTTATCAAGCGAGCCAAACATGCAAAATCACCCTCAGAAACATAAGCTTCAACCCGGGTTGCAGCAAGGGCTACAAGAACATCAACTCCATCAAGGCATGCTGATGATTTGTAGAAATGGTGGGAAAGAATAAGAAGCTCAACCTGAGAACATAATTTTCCAGTGAATGAAAGGTTCATGCATCAAAAACACAACCCCTCTAGAGCAAGAAATAAAACAAAAAATTTTGCCTTGAAAATCTCATACTTTATTGAAATAACAATTTAGAAAGCATAAAAACGGCACAAGTGGTACAACTAAAGAAGATATAATAGAATGAGAGTTATTGATCATACTACAACCAAAAGAACGGAGCCTTTTCTCAGTAGACTCTCAAATACCTAATTACACCTATATTAAGGATTGACTTTCAAAATATGACTTCTCTAGGATAATGACGGCAACCAAAACATCAATAATTTTAATCCTCACAAAGTGATACTCAATTATTGTTATAATAAGATACTACCTCACAGGCATGCGGTATTTCTTGTCCAGTAATCACTAAACGCATCAATGCATGGCCAATTTCTGGTTCAGAAGGACACAGTTCGGCCCACTTCAAGAAATCTGAAAATCTCCACAATAGAGGAGCCGGGCCTTCTTCTTTCTGAGAATCCATATATCCCCCACGATGAGCAGCCAATAAACCCTAAAGCATACTAAATATGTGAGGTCAACAGGTTGCATAGAAATACAAACAAAGTAATCCCCATCTGACACACAAACATACATTTCTCACGCTGATATTAGGTGCAGTGCAAAGTGTGGATGACAACAGAACCATATAATTAGGTGCAGTTCGTGGATATAAATGACAACAGAAACATAAAGACTTCTCACCCAACTAAAATCCAGATACTGAAAGCAATATAAGCATCAAAACTCAAGTGATCATTTTAAGTGCACCCAAGAGATCACCTTTAGAAAGGATTCTGCAAGAATTTGAGCAATACTAGCAGCTGGCATAACATGAGTTTGCACAAGGAGATTTGCTTCTTCAAAAGATTCTTGTGCTTTAAGAGAGAGTAGCTGTAGCAATTCAACAGGCTGCTTGCCAAATGCCTCCAAAAATGAAAGACCCAAGACTTTTGCAGCTTTGACAACCGCTATTATTCTCTTACATAACCCACGCCCACTACCTTCAGTGAAAACAGCTGCTAAAGTCTCCAAGACCTTTGAAATTCAGAATATAGACGTCAGATAGGAATATCAGAACAACAACTAACCAGGAAAGTTAAGGAAGAACCACGAGTAACCCATGAATGAGGACAACTCTGGTTGAACTTTAACTGCTCCAAACCTAGATCAACTGATACAGATATTGGAGATATGAGAAACTACAGAGATAACAAGTACCTGCAGTGGGTAGATGAGATGCTGAGCAGTTGGTATATTGTATGACTGAATAACAGAAAGAAATTCCTCATCAAGCTTTGCTATTGGTCTTTCACTGGTAGGAGTGGACATTGAAGCAAGTTTCAAAGCAGTATCCACTAGGATGAATTCAGAAGGCATCTGTCCTGGAGACAGCTTCTGTTGGAGTTGGTTGGCAGCCGTTATTTGTCCAAACTCCAGTAAGGATAGAACAGCCCTTTCAAGTTCTGCAGGTCCAACCCTCTCCTCCCACTTAGGAGAAGATATTTCAATTCTAAAGCCTTCATCTTGCAACTGGAAGTCATTTCTAAGGTTGGGAGGATTGGAACTATCTTCAGGCTCAAGGCCCTTTTCTACTGTGTCCACCAGTGGCCTTCTCAATGGCACATAGCCTTTGGCCCTCCGTTTTGTCTTCGAACTCCCAATTGTCACTGTAGAAGAGCTGGAGTCTAATGCTTGATTTCTGTGGTGTACTTCTCTTGCATCATATTTCTCTACAGTTCTACTATTCATTAAATCAATATGATTGTCCATCTTTGTTATTACGCTAGCAGTTCTATCGATAATGTTGGAACTATTCCCTGTGACAGGGTTCCGGCTAGAACTTGTTAAACTGATCTCTCCTTCACTTTTCACTTGAGCTTCAGATTCCACGGCCAAAAGCCATACTCTAGTCTCAATTTCTCGCAGAAGATGTAAAGGATAAACACTGATAAATTTAGCACAGAGGTTAGAAAGAAACCTGAATACTTGGATGCAAAGAAGCAATTCAATTTGGATAAATCACTTACGGTTTGGACTGGGTTATCATCCCACTTAACCATTGAAGAGAAAGCAGCAACATTTCATGAAGCTCACTTGCTGGAAGATCTTTCTCCACTGCTTCTGCATGCTTAAGGAAAAACAACCCCGCCTGCAAGCCAACAGCAAGATTGCATTGAGAATAAATGAGCAAGCTGCCAAAAACAAGATTCTGGCTGACATCCGTCACATGTATGATGAAAGCATACCTGTAAAGCAGGATAGGAATATCTGATGAATAGCGTCTGGCAGTGATCCCATAAAGCAACTCTCTCTTCAGGGACATCCCAAAGGAATTCTTTCCATTCAGCTACCATGGACTCAGCCTAAGGGCAAAGAAAACAGACAGTCAGAAGTTCAAGAGGCTAACACTTGAAAAGAACATTCATTGCAGAAGGTATGTAGTATATTAGAACTCAAAATAAATGGCAATAAACCACATGCATCAAGAAAATAAATTTCCTCCAGACATGGCCTCATTTGGAACTCAACTTCACAATCATGTGTTGAGCATACCTGGATTATCCATCATTGTGATGTGATAATCCTTACTTGTAGGACAACTCTATATTAGGTTTACTCCTAGAGCCTGGAAGATTCTCCATCAAAGTTCTCACCACCCTCCTATCGATGGGAATCCAATTTTCACTAAAATATCTGATATTCATGAATATGATCTACTACGTCTAGGCAATGAGACAAAATGTCCTCAATTTACACACTTGCAAATTTTATCTTTTTGTCAAAGCACCTATAACTCCATATTAAAAAACTCTATTATACTCTACCAAAATCTGGAACATAACATCAAAGCACGACACACTCTACAAATTTCAGATTTTCAAACATAGTTTGACAACCATCAATCAGTCCATACATATGTGGGTGCCTATAAGTGTGCGTCTATCTTAGTTTGCTCCTTCAATATATCCATGACCATTTCCACCACTCTTTCCTTTTCTCTTCTTGGAAGCTAGTAAACAACCTAACCCTCTTCAGATGTCCTACAAGGGGCAATCTTGAAATCAGATTACGAAAGCACTCTTCACAAACACTGATTATGCCCACCAATTCCAAGGGAAAAACTACCATTTTTTTTTCTCTGCTCATCTAAATCTAAACAATTGAAATCTTGAAAACATAATGCGTCACAATTGTTTTTTCCTTACCAAACGTAGGTCCAATAATGCTAAACAGAGTAAATAGACGATCACAGGAAAAGGGATGAGGGTATATAACAACACAAAGTTCCAATGAATGCAGAAAGGATTGTCAAGTGCAAAATAAGGCTACAAAGACAAGGAAAGAGAATAGGCTCAACATCAAAACATTTTTTCAAACTTCATGCTGTAAGGATAAGGCTGCAACGAATCCAGTTGCCAAAAGAATGAAATGACCCCTCACAACATAAGCACCCCAAATAGAATTGATTTTAATTTCCACGTGAAACATGTAAGTGGGAAACCATGAAAGCGCCTAGAATTTTACTTTAAGTTTCTAACAAATGATTATTAAACTAATTTTTAGAGTCAACAACATACAGCAAAATAAGGAATCAACAAAACTGGGGATCATGCGAATGTCATACTTTTGAACCCAAATGAGCTATTTTCTGACAATTTAAATACTAGATAAATAATCTGACTCAAATAGGCAAATGCAAAATCTAATAACCTCAGTAATTTGCTTTGTGCCACAAGAAGGATATAGTGATAATGTACCTGAGTTTCAGTAACTTGGTGAACAGTAGACTTCCAAGGTCCACCACTTGCCTCCAACTGCCTAGCCCAGTTGCGTGCTTGCTCCCACTGCCTGTTCTCTTCTAGTGCTGTTAGAAGGGAAGAATCATCTAGAGTCTCATTCCCGAGGTGCAGACCATCATTTTTACGCAAAGAAGGCTCTGCTAGATTAATTTTCCAATAAAGTCGTCGATAGTAAGCTGCCGCAGAGCCTCCATCTCCAAAGTCAGCAGCAGCAAGAAGTTGCAGTAGGCACCTCTTTTCATAAGGAGATGGACAAGTTGAAAGTGTAGCATCAGCAGCTTTTATAGCAGTGGAACTAATCCATGATATTCCAATCTGGCATTCTCTACCAATATTTGTCTGTAAATGACTTGGTTCCTCCTTAATTCTCGCAGAAAACGAACCAAGATGTGCTGAAGCTTCAGACAGACGCATTTGTGAAAATGCCTGAAGAAAAAAAGAACGGGAGGAAGGGGATAGTGGAGTGAGAATAGTATCAGATTTTATCCAACATGATACTTTCAATCCTCAACCTTATTTCAAAGCCAAACCCAGAATCAAATCATAATTGTTAAAAGACTTTATAGCACTGCTTGTCAGCAGTTGAAACACGTTAATGCACTATATTACAATGAAGGAATGCATGGAAAATAAGATCACTATATTTAACCAAAAAAAATCTCTTTCCTCATTTGTTTCTGAAAGCATAATTCACCAGCTCTGGTCACAGCTTATGACACACAACTCAACCCAGCCCAACTCAACTCAACTCAACTGAGTCTTAATCCCTAAACAGTTTACGAGTCAGCTACATGAACCTGTTTTCTCCACACCACCCTGTTTAGTAGCACATCCTCTAAAAGATCCAAAGAGGCCAAACCCTTCTATGGGATTTTTGGTCTACCTCTACTCTCTTGATTATTTCTACATAAAATACAGCATCCACATTTTTTACTTCATATCCAAAGTGAATATATTCAATCTAACAAAATTATTCAAGTTCAGGTCTTTAAGAAAATATTTCTTTCATGGGACATTTTGTGTTGAACATATTAAGTTATAATAATGTATTAAATTATGACAAGGAAACCCCGACATATATATATATATACATATATATGTATACATATGTATACATGTACATATATATGTATACAGATGTATGTATGTGTGTGTATTTTGTTTGAGATATCATCATTGAAGTTTTCCAAAGCACTTCAAATTTCATTTTCCAATTACTTTAGGGTAAGGCACTAAGTGTCCATGTTTGGCAGCCAAAAAACAAATAGAAGTGGCAAACATAGAAACTGCAGTCAGTGACTGAAGACTTTCAGGACACATCTACCACTGGTTGGTGATAACTACCTCACAAGGCTTCTACCAAATTGACAGCAGTTCTCTCCCTGCTTAAAAAGTAGCAAAGAAGAATAAAAAATCTAGAATTTAGTTTAGCTCACAAACCTGAAGAGCCCGGATAAATGGAAGTAAAGAACACGAAGGGAGGAACATTTCAAATGCTCTTAGTAAAGGCAGAAAGAGGCGTTGCTCACAAAGCACTGCAACCATCTTGGTCAGAGAAGCTGGACCTTCATTAAGATCACTTGAAACATTAATCTGTTCACCAAGTTCAACATTTCTATCTTCCCCGGCAATACTGCCCTCATCGGAAAATATTCTTGTTGCACTATCAGATGTCTCAGACAAGGGAGTCCTAGATATGGATTCCAAAAGCCGCCTACGTTTTGGACTCCGCCGATTGTAGTGAAATGAAAGTGCTCTGCTGCCAGCTGGCAAGGAATTGGTAGCTTCTACAGCTGCTGCAACATTATCTGCTATCTGCGAAGCTATGTCATTCACCTTGATGGATTTAGTTTCCCTGTATGACTATATCCAATCAGATCGGAGACTCATAATGACAAATATGATTATATTCATGAAGAAAAATGCAAAATCTTAGAAAGAAGGATACTAGACTCATCGGAGAGAATGCAGTGACACAGCAAAGTAGTAAAATGAAAAGATCATAGAAGTATAATTTCATCTTGAGTTGTTTGGAATAACCTGGCTGCAGTTATTTCCAGCCAAACTGTTAAGCAGGACAGTGGAGACACATCTGGAAAGCATGATGCAATCATGGCCAAAATAGACCAGGAAAAGTCCTTTGCTTTTAGCAATAGGGACTCTCCAGGGTTTTTCTGCTTCTCGCAATCGGCTAAAACTCTAAAGAGTTCAACGGGGATATATACATTTTCCTCTGTAAAGGGACTTTCACTCCTTTTCACAGAAGTACCCAAGTATGATTGGGAGCTAGATTTTTTTTTTGATTGCATGCTTTTCAAAACTGTCAGTACATGAATCTTAAGACGAGGATCACTGAATTCCTTTGATGCCTGAAACATGGAAAGAAAGTAACGGGATATAAAATGGTCCAAATTTTTTAATAACACAGTATAATACCATCGAGCACTAAACTAGGAAGATCAACTTAAAATTCAAAACTAAGTTTAAAAATAAAGAGCTTACAACTTGGAACACTGTGTCAAATGAGTACCCTCCTATCTGAGCTTCACTCAAAAATCCAACCTTTAAGAAGACAGGGACACCATAAGTTTGGAGTCAAAGAAAAATTGCTGATGATCAAAAAATTAATGAAAAATAATGGACACACACCCAGTCATTGTCTCTTGCTAATACAGCAAGATATTTTGTGCTCAAGGGAAGCTGATGCATCTGACAGAAGACAGTGACTAAACTCCAGTACTGGCTTGCAGCTTTTTGTTGAGATCTCAATTCAGTGCCGTCACCATTACCAGTCAACAGCCAAGATCCACATGTCTTTCCCTCCACCAACAGCGGAAGACTAGCCTTCTCTAAATGCTGTAGGACAAGCACAAGAGCTCGTGAAGGCTGTTTACTAGAAACTGAGATTAGAGATCCTTTTTGCTTAGAATTCCTTGAACTATCCCCATGCATACATTCATCAGCAAGTGCTCGAGCTAGAGACTCCATAACATTGTCATCATGTGATGCAGCATGAAATGCAGAACCCTTAGGGGAAAGTTGCGTAAACTTCTCCTTATTTTCAATGGCTTTGTAAAAGAAAGATATCCTTCTCAATGCAGCTACATCTACTCGGAGCATGCTGGCTGATGAACCGCAAAGCTCCAAAAGAAAAACACTTGATGCCACTAATACAGTGTCTTCAAAATGGGTAATGGCAAAGGGCATGACCTGAAAATTCAAGAGCAATGAGTATCATCACAGCATCATTATCCAAAGTTGTCTGAGCTCAGTTTTCTTCTTGGTAATTCTGTAGTAGCATATGAAAATAAACTATGCCAGCCCACATGAATGCAGTTTTTTCCTAGTCAATCTCCATTTCAATCATAAACATACTATAATCTAAATAATACGATAACCAAGCTTACAGATGAAAGAAGAGACTCTTCACTCTCAGATATAGGTGCAAGAAGTGTTTGGACATCTGATTGAACATTTGTCTGTGCAGAAGCACTGGATCTCCCATCTCTTTTCAACTTTTCAACTCTTGAAGTGAGAAGATGATTAAAAGCTGCAAGTGCACGTCCACGATGCAAGTGATGTTCAAGCCCAAGTCCAGTATCCTAAAGTGAAAATAAGCAATAGAACTACTGAGAAAAACAATGCTTATGGTTCAACCAGATAGATAACACCAGAAACGATATCAATTGAAGCAAACCCTAAACTAACAGTAGCATAAGCCCAAATAAAAGCAACAGGAGCCAAACAAAAGAAGTAAGGATGATAATATTTCCAACAAGAAACTGCAATATACTCTTCATTCAATTGCAAACAAGGAGAAAGTAGAGAAGAGGTTGAACAAATGATGTCTCATGCAGGAGCAATAATGCCATTAAGACTAATGAGCTTCCGATAAAAATAAAGCAAAAACATATGAGAAGGCCATGACGAAATCAGATTTCTTTAATAAAATAAATGCTCCCAGTGCCTTGAGACAAATTACAATGATGCAGCCATCAGTGCTTTACCTAAGTTATATTGCATCAGATAGAATACAAACCTAGTTACCAAAAGGAAACAAATAGGGATTCCTAGATTCAATGCACTACACTTTATTATTATTATTATTTTTTAATTGGAAGAAGATAGAGGGAAGGACAAAATTTACTGGCATATAATTCAAAAGTACAGGATCCTTTCAACATAGAAAAATAAGTCCAATATTCCCCCTAATTATCTGTTAAAGTGATTCAAGCAAGAACTTCCATTTGTACACTGTACATGAAATTTTAACTCAGATTTCAACCCATTATCCTATCACAGTACAAATGGAAATTCTAAACCAGATATTAATACATTATCCTTAGTGTAAAAATGCATGCAATAGGAGGAAGTAAATAAAGTTCTTTCCCTCTCGGATGATTATTATCCATAAGGTATAATATCAACTAATTATCCAGGGAGAATAGGGATAAACCTCAAGTGAAGAGTGATAAAGTTCCTCTTCAACATGTTTCTGGATAGTTGCTTCCCAGGAGATAGCATTAATCTCAGTTTGTTCATCAGAATTTATGTAAAAATCAATGTCTCTATCCAACAAAGATTCTCCAGTAGGAAGACCTGAAAGCGTTTGCCATCCAAGGGGACCCTGCAACATTGCACAAACTCCATGATATAAAAGTAAAATCCCAAAAAGCAAGTGAATAGATGATATCTGTCAAAGGTAACATTAAATGGCATTTCCTCGAATTTATTTAAGCACGATAAAGCCAAAGCAACAAAGTTTGCCTAGCTACCTACCATATTAACTACATTTGATTAAATGGTAAAAAATGAGAAAAGGAAAGAGACCTGCACATAAAGCTGGATCAACCGCCGCACAGCCTTAGGAAACCAGCAAGGCAGCATCTGTAGTAGTGAAGTATCACGTCCAGTAGAGACAAAAATGTTGTCACGCCAATTTAGGTAATCTGTTAAAGCTGCATTCCCAAACCAAAAGGCAAGAATATTGTGCCTAAAATTAAGGCATGATTTTTAATGGGCATGAATAAAAAAGAAAAAGAAAGGTAAAATACTAACCATTTTTTGCTCTGGTACTGACGTTACTGAAAGTTGTATCTTGTCCAAATCCAGATACAAGTGTGCGCCACAATGTAGGATAGTGCTGCAATGTAGGTCTCAAATTTTCTAATGTGCATTGAGCTGTGGAGCTATTATGCCTGTTAACGCTCCCACTACTTAAGCAATTCTGGATTGGAGCAGCAGCATACATTAGAGTCGCTAATGCTGCCATCTCCCCACCTCCTTCCGCAATATCATCAATAGTACGAATTACTTCATCTACTTCATGACCACGGAGGTTTCCACCAAGAACTAAATTATCTGACATTATTGAACGAGCATTTGCAAAAGATGCATCATATTCATGCCCTTTAATCCTCGATAAGAGCAACCATCTTGCCCAATGACAATCTCCCTTAACAGATGCACCACATAAAACAGAAAAGATATGTAAGAACATAAAAATAATTTATCATGCAGAGCTGAACAATCTATTAGCGACATTAGTAAACAAGCTGGCAATATCAGAAAGCTTTGGGACAATCCACGTATAAACACAAGAAATGTTTCACATTGGTGAAGTATGAAAGAAAATCATGTCAAGCAAAAGACAAGCCAGTGTTGAAGGCCAGTAAAATATGGATGAAGGATGGTTATTAAATATCAAACAATCAGCTAAGATCGAGTATAAAGAACATTAACAGTCACTGGGCATTATGAAACTTACTGCAGCTTCCTGTAATGAAAAAAGTAAATCATCATTGAGAACCAACTTGTGATGATCAAGGTAAAGGTCCAGAAGATTTGGCAAATTATATTGTGCACAGTAGCGAATAAGTAATTTATCCAGAGCTTGCACAGTGTCTTCTTGAAAATTTTCACTGCTGTTTGAGAAATGTAGATCTGACGATCTCTCAATGGAATTATCTTCAAATGAAATCTTATAACTGTTTGTAACAAAGCCTGACCGTGCAAGAAGAGATACTATCTCTGCAGTGCCTTCCCAGTAGTCCTTCAAAAAAATCAGTTTCTTTACAAGCTCCTGCTCCATGAGCATCCTTAACCATGTAGAACACATAACAGAGGAAGACAACCTCAAAATTTTGATATCTGGAACATCCATGCATATGGCATCCAGTTCTTCAACAGAGCAAATATAATTGCTAAAGTCAGGAAATCCACTGCATTCAACAGTTGAGGCAGGCTGGAAACCATCTAAAGCTATTTGGAGGCTTCCATTTGATAAAACAGATGTAGGAATAAGGTCTAAGAGTTTGAAGACTTCCTCCCAGTCATTACGATATATATAATACTCCAATTGTGACTCCCATGACACATGGACACCCATTACAAAAGGCTGATCCAGTACTATCTGAAAAGCGGAAGATTTAAAAGAGACATCTTTAAGTCTACCACACAGCTCATAAGTGTGTTAACGCAAACATGAAATTGCATGCAATACAAAAATCAACCTTCAAGATATTGTATGTTTTCAGCTTCCAAAATGCATCCCACAGAAATAATATGCAATATGATGCACTCCTTCAAAGTAATTAATGCCAAAATTGTAGATACCAATTTGACATGGCTAAATATCAAGTTTAATTTAAAGTTCAAGAGTATTTCATTGCTTCATAATATATCAGATGCACTGATAGCTTTTTCCACTCTAAGAGAACTGGACAAGAATGGAATAAAACTTTGATTTTAAGCCCCCCCCCTCCTCTTTTAATAACTGATCACATAGAAGTTTTCCCTTTAAAATTTGCTTTAACCCAATACTCATCTTTTTCATCATACTCAGACAATCGAATTATGAGAAATTGAAGCCAAGAATTATAATAATAGTGCCCATTAAACATGTCTTACTATGGCAATTTTGTTCCTCACAATATGTTTCAATACAATTTAACCTTTTAAAAAAATATATGATGCAAGAAAAGGCATGAAAAATTGCTTACACGATCAATGGTTCTCTGATCCCAGGCCTTGGACCACACAGCAGCAGCAGCCCAGTATCCAGCATGGGCACTTTCTTGATCAAGCGCAGGATCAGATGAATTTTCATTAACATTTGGCCATGAACCTAAAACTACTCCATCAATCTCACCACACTCAATTGTTAAGTGGTTGAAAAAATCCAATAGGCACAAATGAATCCCTCCTGGTGAGTTTAAAGTTGATGTCACTTGCATGCGCCCTTTCTGATGGTCAAGAAATGTTTTCCAGAAACTACAGCTAGGATAAAGCCTCTTTCCAAGAGAGAGACAAAAAGGACAAAAATTTTAGCTCCAAAAAAATGGTCAGGGTATGAACTCAATTGCATTTACACATGCTTTAACAGAAATATAAGCCAACTAACATTAAACTTTCACATACCTCAATAAGTGATATTCTCTCCAATACATTCCACTCAACTGATCCCAGGTAACCATATCTCCTCATCTCTTCAGCAATTTGCATACGTAGACTTCTCCTCACTGTGCCAAATAATAACTGCTTGAGGCAGACTTCAACATCCTCTCCAAGCCGTTGTAATGTTGCTATAGCAAGTCCAGTTTCACCCTGTTGTTCAGGTACAGTCAATGTACAGCAGATATATGGAAAAACTTTACCTTCAAGTACTTAACCTTCAATAAGTTACCTTCAAAAATAGATCATAAGCAATATCTCTTCCAATGTCACTAACTTCATTGAAGGTATCATGAGGCCCTTCGTCAGAGGTGAATTCGCTTGAACGTCGAAGATGCAGTTGAAGAACAGCTAAAGGGAGGCGACCAGAGAGTAAGGCATCCTTTACCACAGTTTTCAAATCCAGTTTATCTAGTTTCCAACGTGCAATCATCTCTTTGGGATTTTCAGAGGGAAGAATTTTCTTCCCTGAAATTACCCCTCGTGAAACAAGGGCAGATGACTCACTTGAATCCTCTGAGTCCAAATAAGCTTCAGAGCTCAGAGAATTGTCAGGAACCAAAGCAAGCCTCTCATTATTGCTGGATGGGAAGGTCAATGCAGGAATCTGAAGGTCATATTGATTCAATGTCTCCAATGAAATCGTTAAAGGTGTTGAAAACTGAAATTCTTCCTGCAAGGAATTTGGATCTACTATACTTAGTGGCTCCTCCTGATCCACCTGTGTCATATGAAAAAAATATTACTTGAAATTCTGAAAGAAAGCAAGCAGCATAGAGTAGCAAAACCACAGCATCATACCAATCCTTGGCCTGGCTTTTTAAGTTTTTCTCTGAGTTGAGATTGCAGATTACGAATAATCTCCAGAAAATGAGCCATCTCGCGAAGCCTTACGGAATATCCCATTTCATTGTGTGCTTTATCAGGTAAAACTGGAGGAAGAGCAAGGAGACGGCTCCCATCTAAGCCCTGCAACATGAATGCATCCCTTTTACGCTGGAGTAATCCATATTCACGGATCATTTTGGTAGCGAACCAGGTGGCCAATTGCAGTAGCCTGTAATATAAGAAAATGATACGTAAATACATATATTAGAAAATATACATAGTGATCTGAATCATTCATATAAACACAATTATTATTAAAATTAAAAAATAACCTACAATACCAAATTGATACCCAGCATTATATACGTCTTGATTCCATAACATGGCATAAAAGTATATGTCATGCCAATCCAAGGAAAGACGCTGGCAGATACATGAAGTCAACCACAATGTTGTAATTAGGCAGTTAATTAATGTGAAATGTAATTTGTAGATAGCAGCAACACCGATACCACTTAACAAAAAAAAGTAAAACCGATACCAATAACGACAATAATTTAATAAGGGGCCAAATTTGACATGATCATAATCCATACACCGATCTTATGAAAAAAAGATGCACCTTTCCAGTTGCTTAGACTGTGAAAGGAGGGGAAGGAAAGGTGTTAAAAAAAGATGAGATTCACTTATGATAGGTCAAGTAGAGATACTTCTAAAAGGTAGCCAAATCCTGCAACATATCTCGTCCAATACTTGTCCAAATTCCTCTGATATGTATCCAATACTTCATTTAGATATCCTAGATTTAAAAAAAAAAAATCAGTTTCTGGGACATATCTGATACGTCTTATCTATGTTGCTTCGACTACGGTCAAAGCATCAGACAGGGTTTGTCAAAATTTTGCCTTACATCAGATGCTCATGTCCTCATAAACATGCCCATTCTCAAGGGCAGGATAGTTTTCCAAAGCACATAACTTCAGGGAAAATGAAGTGTCAGAGCAACATAGCTTTTTAAATAGTATAAAATTCGTATCTAACAAGTATTAAACCTGAACACACAACCATTTAAGCATAGTTTGAGACTACGTTTCCAAGTTAAAGCATAAAAAGAGATTTGCTTATTTATGAGAGGGAAGATTTATGAATTAATACAAAATAAACTTTGAAATAAAGAATATGTAAAATATTATAAAATAATTATCGATAAGAAAATATAAAGCTCCATTGGAAAGTCAGTAGAAGGCGATCTTAACTAATTAGTACAAAGAAAAGAATTTGGAAATGGAAGTACAAGAAAATCCATAACCTTGCAGGTGTGTACCTCAATCAAACACCATACGGACCAATGACCCACCAAGCAAAAAAATCAAATACCAAGGATCCCTATCATAAAATAGTAAACAGGTATTACCTAAGCATACAATACCTATATCTTTCAAGGAAAAGGTGAAAGGAGACAAAATACAGGAAACAAAGGCAAAACATTGTAATTACTCTATTGTGCACCGTTATCCAGATATGAAGCACTCATGCTTGCCATGTGCATTGCAAGGGGCAAACAAATACAATCCTCAGACCATCCTAATCAATGAAAGATAGTAAGAAGCTCTTAACCTTGATGCAGCAGAAACCTCATTATCATTGCCATTTTTCCGAAACATAAGATAAACTGCAGCAAAAAGCAATCTTAAAACACCTTCTTCTGCCAGGTTGACACCCACAAGCATTTCCAAAGATCTGTTAATCCAGCAAGAGAAATAAATTCATTAATTACTTGTTAAAATCAAGTCTAATTCATGGAAAAAAAACCTCAATCTAATTCACCAAATATAAAATGCTGAAAAATCAAGGTATTCCTCTGGGCATACAGCAGAGAGGACTGCAAAGTATAGCAAATATTGTCTTCCATATATGACACACAGCATAAGGAAAACGGAAAAGGAGAAAGAACAGCAGTGGAATGAGAAACATAGTTGAAAAAGTAACTCTCCACATAACAAAAAGAGGTGAAGTGCAAATTAGTAAATTATAGCAATAACCTTTACAAAAACAAAATTTAACAAGAACCAACCAAATAATAGCATAGGATATCTACCATCATATAAAAACCTAGAATACAACATCTGATAATGCCAAAATAAAATAAAATAAAATATCAAGTAAATAGAAACTTCAGATCTCTTCCTCCCCTCTCTCCCTCTCTCTTACTCCCCATAGAACAAACTTTCTAAATGACCTGATTCCTTCTATATGTATGGTATGATCAAACCAATATCACTTTAGTACTAACATGATGAGGAAAATTATGATGACACTCACAATGCGAATAGCTAGGTACTCAGTTGCCCACTACAAAAAAGTGATTAATTTACATTGAGACTATATATTCCTCTAACCTTGTCTATTCCATAGGCTCCTCAATTTATAAAAGAGGCTGAAAGACAAAATAAAAAAATAGAAGACTTCTGCTTTGGACAAAGTTATATATCCCATGATGGCATAAACACATATAGCCATGCACTCAATTGGCTGCTACAAACAAGAGGTATATAAACAGATATATTCCATAGCAGCATAAACAGATAATTAATGAGATTTTAGCATTGTATAAAATGTCATTTTACAAAGAATAAAAGACAAAAAGAGGACAAAGAAGAAATAAAAGACAAGAAAGGAGGAAAGAAAAACCAAGAACACAGAATTTAAAATGAAAAAGAAGAATCTTACTGCTTTACTTCATCAAATTTCAAGTAGTCCAATGCCATTTGCAGCCGACGCACCCGAGAAAACTTCAGATCCCATCCTGACATGGAAGCAATTCACATGAAAATTTGGAAATTTATTTCAGCATTCTTTAATTGTGCAGCAATCCATGAGCAAAGACTCAATCATACTTGGAAATGAAAACTGTAAAAGAAATAAGAAGTGTAAAAAGGAAGCAACCCCAAAACCAATTTGGATAAAAAACAGTTGGTGGTCATCACAGAAAAACAAGGCTTCAGTGAAAGCACATGTAAGGCTTAAAGTTCTTAAATGGGTACTTTAGTTGCACTTTACAGCTTTCTTTTAAACCATTCACTAAATGCAGAACAGGCTCGTCACTCACAAGATGGGAGCAGCTGAAGTTACACCATCCTGCACAAAAGGCAGCCTTTTGAATTTCAGCCATTTCCACTTTACCTTAACCAAGACTAGAAGCATCACAATGCAAAACTGTCTTCCTAATACCAGTCAGCTTATAGGAGCATAAGTGTTCATGAATAACACGTGGTTCTATGGGTTCATCCTCAAACTCATTTATATCATTTATCCTGGAGAAGAATTTCAAGAAGCCACTTTGTGCAAATATTTCTTGCATTAAAAAAAATCTGGAGAATTCCATATCCAGCACTGACTGTCTAATTATGAAGTTTCAAACAAAAAGTACGAAAATTCTTTTCAGCTCTTGATACACATCCCAACAATACAAATATTCCAGACCAAAAGCCAATGATACACGAGAAAACTTATGCAAAGAGCGTTTCTGCTAACATATGAGAAAAGGTAATCATTCATTTTGTGTCTCCATATCATTCCAAAGTATCCTCTTGAGGAAGAATGAAGCAAGACAACGAGGAAAGCAACAAGGAAGGGATCCTTCAATACAAACAAACATTTTTTAATTGGAAACAGCAACAAGAGAACATTAGACAACAAAGAAAATTTTCTGGTGAGCTTAATAACTTAAATAGACAGCATTCACTAGACCAAGTAAACCATATGATCATAGATGCCATAACCACTATCTCTCTGTGCTAACTACACGTAGAAACTTATAGATAATAGAAAGACAATATTGAAAAGAATCAAACCGCACTGTACGGTTACTCAAGCAACCAGCTAGGCCAATAGCCAAAACCTAAATTGCAGTAGTAAAACCATACCCGCACCACAAACAACACCGAGGCCACCGGAAAGAATAGCAATGTCAAAAACAATTTGACATTAAACAAAACTATAGGAAGTAAAATCAAGAGTAAAGCAACCCTTTTCTGAGCTTGAGAATGATAGTTCTTTCCCGAGGGGGAATTGGGGCACAAACATACTGTGACACCAAGAATCTGAAGACTTGAAAATTAACTGAAATCCATATGCGGATAGAGTCATAGAGCTACTTATGAGGTGTACATCAGAAGTAAACAAAAAAAATACATTTAGATACGGTATAGTCCACAAAAGTCTATGAAGCCACAAATTAAGGATTTGCACACATTTTAAAACAAAACTCTTGGTACTCTGGTGTTTTCGACATTGACCAAGCAAAACAGTTGTGACGAACTTAAGCCTATATCAATGGGTAAAGTACCATCCTAATGAATTATATCTTTACTAACTCAAGCTCTAACCTTTAAAGCATCACTCACAAACGGAAACTGAGATATTCGGCTTATCAGTTTCAGTTTGGTTTGATTCAGTACTACCTATGAGGCTCACACAATTTCCTCTGCAAATTTCTGATGAGTTTTTATGTGCATAAATCACAATCAGTTCTACATTCAACTGCATATAATATTTACCAGATTCTCTCATGTATGTCATTACCAGGGTGGCAGAAGTGCATTAAATATTAAAGGATAATAGTAGAAGATTTGAATGGTTTTTGCCATATTCCAGAATACTTTATGAAACGGCAGCAAAGGAAATTTAAAGTGGTTTGGTGCAACTACAAGCTGAATGGATTTGATTCCAAAGAACAAGCCAAACCATTATTCTTAAAATTTAAGACTTACGTGCACCTTTTATCTGACAGAACGGAGAGAAAGGATCATTACCCAGGTGTGCTCCAACTGAACTATGGTCCTGGCAGGTAATTTGGTATGGTTCTACCCTTAGGCATTCTTACCCCGTTATATCACGACTTGAACCCATTAGCTTGACACCAAACAGCAGTCACTTATTGATAGAATTAATATGCAGAATAATGTTTCAAGCTCTCATTCTAAAAAACTAAAAGGTGAATCGAAACGTAATTCACCTTTAAAGGATGATTATGATGATTAAATACTATGCTTGTCAATAAAAAGGCCAGTCGCCAATATCAGTGTCATCAAAGGTACAAGAAAGGATAAACTGGAACTGATCCTAATATTTAATAAACCATCAATTGGCTTCATTATGGTAATTACAGAGCCATTTCGTCAAAAAGTCCATACGCAAAAAAACTATATGTTATTCTGCACATCTATATACACATCTCAAGATGGAGAAATCAGCACATACATAAATGCTTGCAAGTTTGCATTTTCCAGATAAGTACTTACACAACAATTATCCAATCTCCTGGGCACAGCTGGTGCAACTAAGGCAGCAAGCTAAATGCACACCTTATCTTATCCAAGCCTAAGTGTCTTAAGTGCCAAATAAAGAAAATTCAAAATTCTTCAACAATATTTAAAAGGCCTAAGGACAATTTTAACAATAATCCTAAGTCAAGAATCCATTCATATGCTCTCCTAGTCGATAAAATAAAAAGGACAACAGCCAACACACCTGCGCGCTAATTGAAGATAGCCATAATCTAAAATAAATCACCAGCAACATGTTCATAGCATAGACCATAAATAACAAGATTGAATTACCCTTTATAAATACATTAAAGTCATGTGAATAGTGCTACAACCATATTATGTTACTTAAGGCACTCACCTATTGTACCTGAAAGGACCGTCAAATCATCTATTGGCAACAGCTATGATGGTAGTCAACAATAAGATTTGAGTAAAATAATCTTTTTTACAGTTTACAACTAGTAAAATTTATCATTACGATAGCAGTTAGACTTATAGGCAAATGCTATGATGCTAGTCAACAACAAGATTGAGTGATATAAAACTTTTTTACGATCTACAACAGTAAAATCTACCAATATGACAGAAGTTAAACTTATATACAATGCAGCAACAGTAATTCAATATAAGCTTCCCTCCTTCCAAACCCATGCAACCTCATAATTCCATAACTCCAAATTTGAAACCAATGCTTAAAATGTAAATAACCAACTCATGCCAGACATTCCAATCTCTCTTTAGTAGCCACAAAAATTTCCATCCCCATACAACCATTATTGAAACCTTTTTCCTTCTTTGTTAAACTACAAAATTCACGATTTCCATTTTAAATCAAGGGAGTTATATAGATTGGTTAACAAGTTTCCAAAATCAATGAATAGACTTAAAAGCCACCAGTAACTGAAGCTATCAGCAGTTAAACCCCAGTTTAGTAGCCAGCCAATAAAACTAAATATCCATTATGAATTTGCCAAGAACAGAACATAGCAGACATCAATTGTCAAGAGCATAAAAATTCTATATTGTCAATGTACAGTTCAATACGACCAACAGACTACAGTTGAAAAGAAATGTGTACCAGGTTTAGAATGAATGGGCAAAGTAGATGGTAATAATGACAATGAAACCAAGATACAGAAAACAATTGTGATCACCAAATTTTGCTGATATACACAAGGGAATTGTATCTAATCATGTTGTTCTCACCATTTTCCAGACATAAGCGATCTGCCTCTTCAGGACCTTCATAGAGAAGAACTCTATCCAAAATTTCAACTTTGCAAGGCGACAAGAACATTTTTGGCTCTTCCATTCCCAGAGTATTTTTTGCTTGACATCCAACGCCAGTACTAATTCTTGGCTGCTGATAACCAATGGTTTCAACAGGAAGGAAATTTGGTGAAACTGAAAAAGAAGGAAGAACCACTGAAAGACCACCTTTAGTCACCAAATAAAAGCATCCCTGGAATGTACAACCAACAGCTTCTCCAATACAAGCTTCTTCTCTCCCATGGAGAGAAAATTTTTCACTTCCTGAATTCAAGCATCTGTCATCGTGGACTACTGAGTCTGTATGCAAGTCAAAATGAACAATTTGAGAACTCTTGGGCTCCTTAAAATTATGCCTTTTAATGAGCCGAGTAATCCCCAAAGGAGAAAAACAGATACAGTCATCATCACTATATCTATCTGTTGGAAGAAAAACCTTTCGCATAAGGTGGAACTGTGTTTGCGAATCATGAACTTTCTCACCCGTTACTTTTGAAGTAGCAGAAAAGCCATTCAAGACTGAATCACACAGACACCTATTTCCATAAAGGTTCCAGCCATGGATTTTCTGAAGCAAATTGCTTCCAATATTATCATAAAAGGAAACACTTTCTTTCATTTTGGAAGCACTATTTAAATTACAAGAATGTGTAGAATTAAAAAATATCCTTTGATGGCTTACATCACAACCACCAACATCCCAACCAACTAACATCCCAAGTCCTAAATGTTTATAATGTGGAAGCAATTTGTCAAAAGCGTAACACTTGTCTGGTAAATGGTTACCAGAATATATCACATATACTACACCACATTCATCGATCACAGCCAGGAGAGATGTATAAGATGCAACAAGTAGCCTCCTAAATGTTCTTCTACCAAATAAACTACCATGCTGATAATATGACTTGCCGTGCATATCATCATCTAGAGTTGAACTTTCTGGTTCAGGCAAAGTCACCTGACAGTTTAATCCACAAGTCTGTAAAATATCAAGATGTGCAACATACTCACCAGAAACTGCGTTATAAAAGAACACTAAGCCAGAAGCATTGAGGCAAATGAGAAAATCATCAGAAAGGCAGAAGTCGTTCCACTCAACCAGTGGGCATGTATTCACAGTTTCCTGAAGCTTCACCAAAGAAACCCACTGAATTCCCCAACTATTCAATCGGGCAACAAAAATTATATTCTTACATCTGCTTTTCTCACTTTCATCATTAGTATTGGCAGATGCAGGGTTCATTAGTGTTAAAAAGAATCCAATTAATTGATGTGAATTGGCAGAGAACACTCTGGCGCATTTGTATGAAGTCTCAGAACAAATATCTGATGAAGACAACTCTAAGTTTTCATGGGAACCATTTTCTAAATTCCCAATCGTCTCTAGGCAGCTCTCCTTACTTGATGAAGAGTTCTCTTTACAAAGAAATCTCAGAACTGGGAAATTACCAGTAAAAATACGAAAAGAAACAACTTTCGCAGAGCAAGGAAATGATGACGTCTCAGGAAACCTGGTCCAAATGCTACCCTCATATTCAATAGTTTCAGCTTTAGTGAAAAATGATTGCAACCACCTCTTTGAAGTCGCAGTTCCTGACAAATTATCAACCCCAGCTTTCTTACTTGTCTTGTCTGGAACTCCTCTCTGTCCATTAGCACTGCTTTTATCTATAACATTTCCAGGGCATTCAAAAGACAAATCAATTGACTCCTCTTCCTTGATATTTTGGAATGATGAAGATGAAGGCCCCCACTCAACCCATGTCCCTTCCCTAAACTCACCCTCTGAAGTTGCCCTGGGCACACTGCTATTATCATGCTGACAAAATGCATGCACCATCACACCTTGACTGCCAGACACAAAAAGAAGTTCTCTAAATGGGCCATCCTTGTGCTGATTATAGGTATCCCCACACACACCCCAAGCCAATGAGTTTACATCACAAAGAAAAGGGTAACTATTAGATCTTGAAAATCTACATTCAAGAGATATACCATTATCAGAATCCATTGCTGATTCAGAAGTACATGGAATATCATCCTTTGAATCAGTTCTACAAGCTGATGAATCTGAATTTTGAGGACCCTCATCATAACAACTTTCTGAAACATTAGAATCCACAGAGTCCCCTGCAAACCAAAAGGAAAAACTCAACAAAGCTAAAAACAAAATCAGAATACCCATGTAAATGAAACTAAGGGCATAGCAGTAATGAGTAAATGAATAAATGAAGCCCCTGATGAACACCTTCCAACCCACACAAAAATAAAACAAAATTTTGGCACTCGAGAAACACAACAATAAAAAAAAAAAGAATATTAACCTGTAACCAGAGGAACTAGCAAAGCTTGGCACTGGTATGAAAGCAATAACAGTAACTCCCTTGTTGGAGATATAAAGGCTTCACGAAATTCCGAGAGGTTGAGTTGCAACTCTGAGGGACCCCATTTATGTATCTGCAGTATAGCAGGACCTTCACCACCAGCAGAACGATCCATTCTGCTCATAAGCAGAATCAAAGAAGCAGACCAAATATATTAGACTCATACCAGAATCTAGCAGTTCTAATTCCATCAATGCAATTTAAGATTTAACATTGCCCCACAGAACCACCCTCAAATATGCATTCTAATCTATATGCATATGCTTCTAATTGAGAGAGACATATACATAAAATAATCATCGCAATAAGATTCATCAAATAGTGCAATTAACTTTAACTCACAAGTTGCAAAAGCTATTATAAGGTCAGAAGTTTTAAAGCAATCGAACTCATCAGATAAAACAGGCACATTCTAATCACATTTTTCTCTCAATTCGATAGCTCAGAATTTAATTAAATTTCATAAGCACGCATATACAAATGTGAAAAAAAATTGCTTGAAGATTTTAAGTAGACTTAAGTTGAAATACAGTGTTCATTATCTAAGTAACTTAACAGCATTTACTGTAGCATTTAAAAAAATAAAACACTCCGTCTTTTCCTTTCATCCTTCTTCCATTTTCTCAGCAACCAAAGAGAAATTAATCAATATTATGCCCACGTATAAACTTAGAAATAGTGAAACATTTCTAAAGAAATTCAAAAAGAAAAATGAATCAAGTATCAATTAAAAGATCAAAACGAGATTAAAGGATAAATTATATAACAAAAAAACGAAAATAAAAAAATGCCATTAAAAAAACCCTAACAAATTAAACTCTAGAGATTAAAGAGAAAAAAAATGGATTTGAGAAAGAACCTGGAGAAGTTAAAACGGATACTTCAAATGATTAACGGTATCTCCGCAAATCGCAAGAGCATGAACTTCTCTCAGTAATGAGATTGATTCTTTTTGTTTCTTTCTTTCTCTTTTTATTTTCGTTTTCTGGAGAATTTGAGAGAATTTCTCCTTCTTTTTTTTTTTGTTTTTTTGATCGAAGCCGACAGGTACATTGAACTATGAAGGTTCGTCTGAGGAAAGGAAGAAGGAAGCCCATGAATGAAGTGTGGGCTTTTTGGTAAATTTACTCTCTTTTTTTGTTTTGATTATCTTGGTCTGAAAGCGGACTGGATTAGGACATGACGTTTTGTTTAAAGCTTAATTAATCTGGATTTTCTGTAATAAATTAATACTTGTACTTCTTTCTATTTTAGTATGTTCTTTTTTCTTTTATTCCTCTATGAAAAAAAAGGAAAAATAACATGGTAGTATTAAAATAGAATGATCTCTTATTCATTTCTAAATTAAAATAATATTATTTTTATGCATAAATTTTTCAATTTAAATTTTGATATTTGTTTTCTTTTTATCATAAATTTTACCATTTAAAAATATTTTTTCTTAAACATCAATTAATAATCTCTCTAATAGAGAAATGTCATTTAATAATCTCATAATATTAGGGGTATTCAAACGGTTAATTACCTTAAATCAATTTTAGAAATTCTAAAATCAAAAAAATTAAACTCTTCCACTAAAAAAATCAAAACTAAAAAAAATTAGTTTAGAATCTAACAATGAACTACTTCCGGTTAGTTTGGTTCAATTACCGAATACCAAACTCATTAACATAGAGGAAAAATGTTAAAATGTGGCATTTTTTTTATAAGATCCCATGTTGAGTTTTTTTTTGTTTTGTTTTTTTAATTGATGAGATATTCTATTATTTTGTTTTTTTAATTGAATAACAAATAATGAAAATTTTTGTTTTGTGTTTTAATCTCAAAACTCACTTATTTTCTTTAAATATTATTCAGTTCGATTAGTTCGATTATTTTGATTGAAAAAATTTAAAATTTAAAATTAAACCGATTAAATTATTTTAATTGAAATTTCAAAACATCATGTTGTAAATTTCATGTCAATTAGTTTACGACATGACGTTTTGTTTAAAGTGTGATTAATCTGGATTCTCGATAATAAATTAATACTTATATTTCTTTTTAGTTCAATATGTTATTTTTACTTTTATCTTATCGGGAAAAAAAACCAACATAGCAATATCAAAATAAAACAATCTCTTATACGTTTTTAAATTAGAATAATATTATTTTTATGCATAAATTTTTCTACTAAAATTTTGAATGCATAACAAATGATAATTATTTCCTTTTATCATAAATTTTACCATTTAAAAATATTTTTTTATTAAAAATCAATTAATAATCTCTCTAATAAAGAAATATAACTTAACAATCTTAATAGTTAGTTCCATGAAATTGATTCTAAAAATTCCAAAACCAAAAAAATCGAACTCCTCCTATAAAAAAATTGAATCAAACCGAAGTAGTTGAGTAACCAAGCACTAAACTATTTTAGTTAGTTGGTTCGGTTACTAAAAACTGAACTCATGAAGACGGATGAAAAAATGGAGAATATGTGGCGTTTTTTTAAAGATCCTATGGTGAGATTTTTTTTTTTGTTTTTTTAATCGAATAATAAAAAATAGAGAATGAAGAATTTTATTTCGTCTTTTGAATTCAAAACTAACTTATCTTCTTTAACTATTACTCAATTCGATTAGTCCAGTTACTTCAATAAAAAATTTAAAATTGAAAATCAAACTCATTAAATTGTTTTAACCGAAAATTCAAAACATTATGTGAATTAGTTTATGACATGACATTTTATTTAAAATGTGATTAATCTGAATTCTCGATAATAAATTAATACTTGCACTTCCTTCTCTTTCAATATATTGTTTTTCCTTTTATCTTTCTAGAAAAAAAAAAGAAAAGAAAAATCAACATGGAAGTACTAAAATAAAATGATCTCTTATTCATTTTTAAATTAAAATAATATTATTTTGATGCATAAATTATTCTACTAAAATTTTCAGTTGCATAACGAATGAAAATTATTTTCTTTTTATCATTTAAAATATATATTTCTTTATTAAACATCAATTAATAATCTCTCTAGTAGAGAAATGTCATTTAATAATCTCGTAAAACTAAGAGTGTGCAAACGGTTAGTTTAGTGAAATTGGTTCTGAAAATTGCAAAATCGAACTTCTCCTCTTAAAAAAAGGAAACCAAACCGAAGTCGTTTAGTAACCAAATACCAAACTACTTTCCTTAGTTTGATTCAGTTATCGAAAATCAAACTCATGAAGATAAAGGGAAAATGTGAGGATGTGATTTTTTTACCAGATCCCATGTTGAGATTTTTTTTT